CTGCTGCTACTACTACTGCTACGGCTACTGCTACTGCTACTGCTACTGCTACTGCTACTGCTACTGCTACTGCTGCTACTACTACTACTACTACTACTACTACTGCCACGCAACTCTGGCTGCTGCTACAACAACGACTACTACTGCTACTACTACTTCTGCTGCTTTTAATGCTGCTGCTGGTACGACTGCTGCTGCTACACCATTTCCTACAATGAATATTTCCGCTACTACTAGTATCGAGCAAGCGTCATCATCATGATCGTCAGCAACGTGCACTTATGACAATGGTGACGGTTGCTGTGCTCATGTCCAGGATTATGCCTGACAGAAAGCATTACAACCGCAGATGCTACTACTGCTGAGAATCGCGACAGTGCCAACGACAGTGTTCGTCGTACAACAGCAGCAGTAATCGTGATCAGCTGGAGTCAGGTTCACCTTTGACAACCGCCGGCTGTACTGCTGCTTGAATCCGAAGATAGACGAATGCTGCACAATCCGTTTGGTTAGGTGCCGGTGGCAGTGGCCTGCAAGTTGAGGTTTTGGGTAGTTGGAGCTCGAAGATTTCTTTGAATTTGATGGGTTTGAGCTTCAGGACATTTTTGGGGTTTTGAATTTAGGTACTGGACGCTCACGTCATGGCAATGATGATAGTGACACTACAGGTGTAAGCCGTAAACCGTACTAGTAGTGGCGAAAGATGTAGTAGTGGTCGGGATCAGAACAACAGTCATTGAATAATTTGAATGATGTTTCATTGCAGTCTTCATTGCAGGATTGCTTTTACTTGATAGTCCCAGTAGCAGTGCTGTTGATCAGAGTGCTGCGAGGAGTGGTTAGAGACTTGAAGGCTATAATAACTGAGGCAGTTAGCAACGGCATGCGCACTTACTCGAACACGCCGAGGACGAAACGGCTGAATGAAACCCCAGGCCCTAAGTCGCACCAGGTCAGCGACTCCCATCGACAAAAACAAGAATTCCAAAATCAAACATCTTTCCGAGGCCTTCAGCGGGCAGCGCTCCTGCATTGGCCACGAAGAACAGCGATTGTCGCCAAGGATGGACTCTGAAGTAGTTGCTTAGCGCGATTCCGTGGAAGATTTCAGATTACGGATCGGACAACGCTTGTCTAGAGTGTCTTGACTTCTTCTAGATAGCATCAAGGATTATCGATCTCCTTCGAAGGTTCTCTTCGACATGCCAGATGTCCGCAGCGCGCGGCACAAGCATCCCGACGGCCAAAAGGGGGGAATTGGAGCTGCTTGAACACCGCCCTTCAGAATTCGAAGCCTCTTGCTGAGCAGCTGGACGAACTAGTTCGCTAGACTGATTGCCTCGTCGGTGATCCAAACAAGTACCCGGCCCGCCACACTTTCTGAGGCAATGCGGCAAAGTGATAGGACACATTCGTGTTGGCGACTATCTGTGGGTTGCTCTTCTCGCTGTAGTACAGTTCTAACACTTCGAAGCTGCCGGCAAAGACCCGCGCCAATCACTTGCAGGATCTGCTCTAGGATTGCTTCTCCTGCTTGTGTATCTCCGTTGATATACGACGAAATTCAGCTTCATGATGCGGTTGCGTTAGCAAGGGCTGCAAGTGCCGCTTGTCATAGCAGGGTTCTACGATTTGCGGAACTTGTGAATGCATTCGAGAGACCGGAGCAACGTTCTACATACTCTGTGCGTTGTGTTGGCTTTACGTGTTCTCGACCAAGCTTCGACGGCTTCTGTCTTTGCGAAAGTCTAAGGGTTCATTGCAGGAGCTTGGGGTTTTCGAGCCACTCTTCTAGCTTTTCAGCTTTCCTGGAACTGAGGTTTCGTAGCACCAGTGACGGTCGCTCCATCAAAGTCTCGTCACCCGGCAGTTTTTTTCGGGGACGGCTGGTCAGTGGTGCTTACGTTGGGTTGAAGTCGGGGGCACAGTGCTGCTGCGCTGGACATCCATGAGGCGCTGGGAACGAAGAATGACCCGATAGTTCCTGTACTATCAGAGCATATCCTCAGGCGAAACGATGGCTCCCTTCACTTCACGTGGTGTTGGGAGGAGGCGCGTGATTCGACCAGGTCGAGCCTAGTCTAGCGGGTCTAGCGGCTTCTCGGTTTCCAGAGACGTTCGGAGATGTCCAGCTTCTATATATTGTACGGAAGTACATCAGAGTGAGGTATGGATGCAATGACTGCATGCAGTGAGTCTCAAACCCCCATCCGTGCAGAAAAGTCTCCCTGTCAGTTCCAACATGTTCAGGTAAAAACAAAAGATGGATCCTGCATGCTAAGCCTGGATCTCCTCAGCAGAGTTGCAGTTCCGGGCGCGGAATGACAGGTCGCCCTAAATAACGTTCTACATTCAGATACGTTGCACGTACTCAGCATATTCTTGGGGCTGTTCGAAGAAACTTGCAAGCTCGTCCCAGCATTTGCGTTGACGTGGGAAAGATTGCGACTTGTTGCTGTGAGCTTGCTCGGCCTGGCAGCCGCCTTTCAGCTCCGATGTAGCCCTCGGGAGCTGTCACGTGCCACCGTATCTTCATGTCCGTGCCTGACTCGCAGATACAGTTAAAATTTGGTTGTGGCCTTTCGAGTGCCTGCTGCAACTTGCTGTTGCAATTTGCACGTCGTCGGGTGAAAATCCAATGTAAGGTTTGTCTGCGATGACAAGCTTGACAGCAGTCTGACATGCTCATGTTTTCGAGGCATGATCTCTGTGTGCAGGTGTTTTTATCTGTCGTTTCAACCTTGACCGAACTTCAAAAGCCTCACAGCCTTAGATCCTCGATCCTCCGAGCACGGAGCACTTGGGGGCCTGTTGCTTTTGACTGTCTCTAAGTAGGTTCATGTTGACGAGCCTATGGCATATGTACAGAGGTTGATGAAGGAAGCATCATGTTCATCTCTGAGGACAACTGAACTCATTCAGAAAGGAAGCTTCGAGAGACCCTCGGACAGCACCAGGGGCGGGTTTTGGCTGGATGGTCTGGTCTAGGCGGGATATCACTTGCGTCTCCTCCAAGCTCGGCTGATGCCCTTGGGCATGCTTGGCGTTGGTGCCCAGCATGAAAGCACAATCTATCGGGGTTGGGGTCAGTGTCTCCGGTCCAGCCGAGGATCTGCGTGGAACAATCGCCATGCGCTGCAACCTTAGCTCTTGTCCCACCGAATCATAATGTGGTGCGGGCACTTGTTCGTTGTGATGCGAGACCTTCGCTGTCTCATCCAAAGGCTTGGTCTTCTTTTATCGAAATAGCCCTGGCGAGCATAGAGCTTGGGATAGAAGAGTCCGCGCTATCATCCAGCCGTAAGTGTTCAGCTGCGTATTCATCTGCCTGTCGCTTGGGTGTCTGGTTCACTCTTAATGTGCGCGAAAAATATCGGTAACACCACATCCACAACATGCGCATCACCGTTCAGCCAGGATAATATCGATTGACATTCGTCGATATCCCTGCACGTTCCTACGCAAATGGAAATGCTTGTGATGGGTGATTCGGAACGCGATGTTCAATGCCATGAATGTCCATGTAGATCGGCGCACATGTAGGCATGAAACACTACATTCGCTCAAGGGAAGCAGGTGCTCCGTGGCCGAAGTCTGACATACAGACTTCGCGAAATAACGGCAATGACAACATGCCCACGATGCAAACAAGAGCAAGCTGGGAGAAAAGTAACATCACTATGAATTTAATCACAGTGTTTTTGCTGGCGCAGCTTCAAGCTACCCAGCAGCATCAGCAGCACGAACACCACCACAGGTGACCGCAACAGCAAAAACGCCACGATAGCAACAGCCAAAGCAGCAGCAGCAGCGCTGGTGACAGAAGAGCACAACCACGACTACCTCCGCCGCCAAAACCGCCGACAGCAGGAACATCAGCAAGAGCACAGCACCAGCAAGCAGGCTGACCCCCTGCAGCCTGCACGCAGCACGGCTCATGTCGTCTACATGTGACTACCTCGACATAAATCAATGAAATCCGACGTCGCATGGGCTATAGACGGACAGAGGAGCGTGCCCCCGCTGGGGGCTGCGTGAGAGGCATAAAATAGGCATACAAGATCAACAGCTCAAAAGCAAAGATTTTTTGCCATGAAAGGGTTCCAGGCGAAAAGATGCTCTGAGTACACTTTCTGCAGATGGTGCATTCATCAGGCGGTGTTGCCCTTACTGCGCTGCTGGTGACCGCAGCGGCAGATCACACCGACTGGGCAGCGGAGGCAGGCGTTTACACTTTGACACAGTTGGACTTGTTTGCACTGTGCGTTGGGACGGCATCTTCGGTCTTCGTCTTCGTGTTCCTTCAGTCTCCGAGCTATTCTCCGAAAGACCATGTCAGATTCTTCCGGCTGCGATGGAATCATTGGAGCGCCCCTGCACCGGGACTGTCTTTCGCAGGTGCCGGTGGCAGAAGATATTCCGGAACCTCTGCTGTTGCTGCAGGCACTTCTTTCTCTGTCGGGGAGTGCGAACACCCTGACCAACTTGCAATGTAGCTTGCAGTCTCCGAGACCTTGCATTCTGCTTGTTTATGGGTAGTCGTCTGCTCCCCACGGTACGCTTAAAACAGTGGTACCTAGGCCCAGGCCGGCATGCAAACCCCGGGCGCAGTCCTGAACCTATCTAGCAGGCTTTTTACATATATGGTTATATATCAAGCTGCAGCAAACACGATGGTTACCATCATTGGGCTGGGGAGCTTGCGTTTCGATGTTCGGGATCTGGATCACACTCGCGGTTTTTCTGAGCCGCAAATTCGTCGAAGCCACCCAGTGATTGCCCTGGCTGTTCGAAACTACAGGTTTGTCACCTTGTTCGGCCCGCGCTGGCATGTTAACCGGCAGGTGCAGTACAGACTGACAAACTCCAAGGACGGCTTCTTTTAGCATCGCGGGTTGTGGTCAGCGCTGAGCACCCCCGGTGGTCCTCCCGATGTTGTCGATTTGTGCAGCCTCGAGCTGCAGAAACAGTGCGCAAGGTCATTGCAGAACCTCGGCTTCATGTGCTTCAGGGCTCTGCGAGCTAAACACTCCCTAAACGCCTGCACGGCATGCGAAATGCTCTGAAGCTTTGGTGCCGAAAGCTGATCTCATGACAACCGACGCACAGGACGACAAGCCTCATCCTATTCAGAAGGCAGCTGCCGATCAGGAGGCAAAGATCTCAGTCTCAAAGCAGGGCTCGGCTGCTTTCAGCTTGAAGTCGTGAACGTCGAACTGGTGTGGTTGTTTCTTTGCGGCCGTCTGCTGGGCATTATTCATCTTGTTTGCAGACAGAATCTGACCGTTTCCTGAATGCCTTACTTGTGCTAGGCAGGCCTCAAAACGAAATGTTGGCAAGAGGTGATCCCGAATCTGCGATCGCAGGAAGCGGCCGAAGAAGAAGCCGTGTCCTTTCTACAGGGCGAGCAGGCCTTATGGTGTTGGTAAGCCAGAAGTCGACGGTAGCTTTCAGCATTCGCGTTCATGTGCTATCTAGTTTAGAGCAACCCTTGCCTTGACATGCACAATGCACAGCGACCTCAATGTGACATGTGGCCCATTACTCCTTGAATGCAACCGGTCTACGCCGTCGTATGCAGGAGATTTCGAAAGTCGAGACCACCGTGCTCGCCCAGGCCACAGCCAGTGCCAATAATGCAGGTTTGGATATTGGAGGATCCGGCTTGCTGGTGAGTGTGTAATTAGGCATGTTCCTTCGTGCGTGGTTTGGCATGGTCCCCGAACTTTTGCACTTTGAGGCCCACATCAAGTCAAACTAATACGAACTGGAGACAAATGGCGATACTGCAGCTCATGCCAGTGCTAGCATTGACGCACCCTGACAACTGGCAGGCTCCTGCCACTGCGCAAAAAAATAACGAACAGACGCTCCTCAGCAGAGATCTGCACTGGTAGTGTGATGTTGAAGGTGTTCAGATCGTGCGTGTGTTCTGGGTTTCACGTCATCGGGCATCGCGCAGTGCTGCCCAAGCGTCCATGGAGAGCCCGCAGCACCATCCTAAAAGTACTCACGAGACCTGTGAGGAGGACGACAATTAATCCCGCCACATGTGATGAACACACCTGAAGGACGTCTCCTTAATACGAAGCCTCTAAGGGCCGAGGCTGTCAATATAGTGTTAAATACTGGATCGCCAAGAAAGCTGCTACCACGACTTCTACTGTTGCTGCTGCCCCTCCTCCTCCTCCTCTTCCTTCTACCACTGCTGGTACTAGCACTACTACTACTACTACTACTACTACTACTACTACAACTACAACTACAACAACAACAACAACAACTACTACTACTACCACTACTACTACTACTACTACTACTACTCCTGGTTCTACTGCTACTACCACTTCATGATGGTCCTCGTAATCTTCTTCATCACCATCTTCATCACCATCACCGTCATCCTCATCCTCATCCTCATCCTCACGCTCATCATGGTCATCATCATCATCATCATCTCCATCATCATCATCATCATCATCATCATCATCATCATCGCCGCCATCATCATCATCGTCATCATCATCATCATCATCATCATCATCAGCGTCATCATCATCATCATCATCACCGTCAGCGTCAGCGTCATCGTCATCATCATCATCATCATCGTCGTCATCCTCGTCCTTATCATCCTCATCCTCATCATCCTCCTCCTCAGCATCATCATCATCATCATCATCATCATCACCATCATCACCATCATCACCATCATCACCATCATCACCATCATCACCATCATCACCATTGCCGCTGCCACCATGTGTTCTCGGGTGTTCACGCCTGTTGCTTTGATCTGGAACACTTCCCTCAAGTTCGACACAGCGGTAAACTCAGATCTAAGGCTGCAGCACCTTTCGATTGCTGCCGCTCTCTTGCTCAGCAGGTGCCTTATGCTCATACTCGAGAGGAGTTGCAGTAGCGGTATACTCCTTGGATTGGAGCAGCAGATCCCAAGAATGCTGAAGTGCTGCATAAATGCCAGAGCTGATAGCAATAGTGGCAGTGTCGTTCTAAAGGCGACTTGTGCGAAAATGCCTCTTGGGAGCTAGGGCTCAAGGATGAGCAGGTTGTCAGGAGGATCTGAGTGGCCGAGACTTTTCGTGTCGGGAATTCCACAGGGTCTAATGGCACGAGCAGCAAGCCGGCGTGTGCTCGATGTAGGTTTGGCCGGTAGGAAGAACTTCGCAGTCCTTGGGCATGTTTGCAGCTCTGCTTTGCAGTTTGAGACTTCGAGGTTGTGCGTCTGAGGTCTTCTAACCGCTTGCGAGAGAGGGGCGTTTGACTCTATGCCAGGAAGTTGTGTGTGGTTGCATGAGATTGTCCATCAGTGCTCTTCTATGTTGTTGTTCAGCAGCATCAGCATCGTTATCGTCAGCATCCTGAGTGTCAGCACCACAATCATCGTTGCGGTCAGCACAATCATCGCAATCCCCATCTCTCACTAATCACCAAGATCACGATGCTTATAGTTTGTTCGGCAGCGCGTGAGCAACGTGCTTTCTGCTAGCCAAGCATTTACAGGAATCGAGGCTTCAGGCAGAACACTGCTTAACTTGTCAGCGAGCGATCCTCCCCTGGGTGTACCGGCTGTGGAGTCAGGTTCCGGCTTGTGCTGACCAAGTCCTCCAAAGGAGCTATAACAAGAGTTCGAGTCTGTGTTCGAAGCAGCAGGAGCACTGCACGAATCGCCTCTTTGGCGGGTCAGTCTCCGGATCTCTTCGGCGAGATCGTATGGATCTGAGATTACACCCCAGCGTGCAGCGTGCACAGTCCCGCCTTGGGCGAGGAGGGCTTCGCCTTATTCAAGGATCTCCAGGTTTCAGCTGCCCAGTAAGGCTTTGGGCATCCAGCCAGGGATGGTAGCTCAGGCTCTTGGTCTGAAAGGCTTAATCGGCGACGAAAGATGCTCAAACTTGCTACAGACGAAGAGTACAGCATGATCCAGTAAGTGTTGCTAGCGAGCCGGAAGCTCTTCTATCGGTATCCTTGAATCCTTGAGCGCTAAGTAGGCCCCTGCTTTCGCCCCTCACCAGTCCCCAGCTGCACAGAGTCGAGACCCGGAGAAGCTTGAAGTACCTTGGGGCTTAGGGTTTGAAGTATCAGAACTTCTGCGGCAAAGCCTGAGGTGTTGACCACGATCGCTTTGGTCGTGTGGATATTCCTGATGATGCCACTCGGACTGAAGGGAAGTGCGAGGTCCGACTGTAAGCAGGCACCAGGCTGGGTCCCAGAACTCAGATCCCCTTCGAAGAGCGTTGGCTGTGAATGCTAGAGGTTGAAAGGTTGCGATTCAGACCTCCAGGGCCAAGGCGTAAACTCCAATCCCAAGCGCCCAACTTCGAAGCCCTGGAGCATGAAGGAGCCCAGAACGCAAAGCTGCGCCGAGTGCCCTGTGTCAGGTCCACCAAGACTACAATAAGTCAAACTTTCGACTGGAAAACAAAGCAGCTCCGAGCCTTCAAGCCGAGTCCATCAGGTTTTGCAGCTGGCTTGGCTTCGGAGGCCACTGCTGGATGGGTTGCTTGATTCAGGTTCTACTCTGAATCTCAGGGACTCGGACGTGATTTGGGCTCCATTCATTCACTCTCTCTCTCTCTCTGTCTTTCTCTCGCTCGCTCTCTCTTTCTCTCTCTCCGGGCTGATACATGCTACTCTAGTCAAGCTGTTCTGCGCCACCCCAGCTGGGCAGGGATCCCGTTGTCCAAGATGTTTGAGCATCTCCAGGCACAAACCGCCTCGAGGAGCAAAAGGAGATGGAGCGGCAGGAGAAGCACCTCCCCCCGGCCATTGTGGCAGCAAGGTCTCGGGTTGTCGCAGTCGCAGGGCCTCGAAGCATCACATCTCACGCGCCGTTGTTTGTCTGTCGCGATGAATGAGGCATGCTAGGTTCTAAATGCCGCAGTGCTTTTTCCGCGGTGTATCTCCGGCTGAGGAAAAGCATGATCCAATCGATGCTGCAGCCGCCCAGATGAAGGAGGCTCAAGAGAGACAGGCCATACATGCGGCTGAAGGAAAGCTCGTCGGTCATGTCCTGTCGCCAGTCACTGACTGATGCTTACTTCATCTCCAAAACTCGAAAACTTCCGACCTGTCGATGATGTGTCATGCCATGGTCGGACGCTTGTTGTTGGAGCCTTTATTGGCTCGCTTTATTGTCATGCCTAACGCTCACGAGAGTTGTCCGCATCGCCACCCTCTCTGATGATTGAGAGCTTCCTGTACCATGCTGAGTGTGTAGCAGGAGCAGCACACCTATGCACGAACGGTCCATGCACTATTCTGTCCGTGTGCAGACACCCAATGCGGGCAAGGTAGGAGCCCTGACTAGTCTGCAAAAATCCAGTTGCTTGGCAGGCTAAGGGGCGCAAGGAGAAGTCAGCCTGTTGCTGACACCCTTCACCGGGGCCGCATAGTAGCATCATGAGCTATGAAGCTGGGAGTTGGTTTGAACATGTTTGCAGCGTGCTGTGTTTCAGCGGTTTAGGGGGTCTTGGGCTGTTGAAGGCGGACTGCAAAAGCCCATTGGTGCGTCTCAGGTGGGCGAAGCAGACTGCACTTCCTCACAAGTGCAGTCTGCATCTCATGGGCTTTGGCGAGTAGATCGTTGGGTGTAGCTTTCTGGCTTGAATCCTGCTCGGGCTGCGAGCTCCCGACAGCGCGTGAAGCGTTCGCAGGATGCCTCCTATCTTCCCATGAGTCTAGCTCCCCACCTGCATGCATCGGCAGGAAAAAAGCCAGACGTTTCCGTCTTGAAAGTGCTTTGGAGAACAGGTATCGCAGTTCTCTCCACTATCTATGCCGTACACACGTAACTCGTGTCACCGCGCACACCCATAAACAGCTGACCGCTGCGTGCAGGGAGGTAGACAGACTCGTTTGCTGGGTGTGTTGCTTCAGGGACTCGATCTGTCTCACCGCTCTGTCTAGGCTTCGCAATGTTTCTCATTGGTGTCAGCCAAGACATGCCAGGGACCCTGAACCATAAGGCTCTGTGTTCACGAGCGAGGATCGTGATCTCGTACTTACCAACATGTGAGAGCTGTTGATGCTGCAACTTGTTTCCCAAGACTATTGAGCTTCCCTTCGCAACCCAGCTTGTTCCAAAGATATCTATCCTTTCGGATGGGCAAGTTTGATGATTCAGTGCGCACATGCAAAAAGATCCTGCCCTCTCTGTCGTGTTTGCCGGTGCAGCTTACAGTCAAGTGTTACTTTCATCACAAGTCTAGTTTCTGCCTGCAGGATTCTGCAGCAAGCCGTGAAACCATGAAAACAGCTGCGGTAGCAAAGGAGTCGCCTCCCCACTGCCTCATGAACGCCCCTGCAAACATCGATGGCACAAGTGCCTTTTTGAAGGCCCAGAGCAGGCCGCCTTTGCGGGAGGATCCAAGAATGTACGGATTGCAATCACTGCGTCGAGCAGCACCAGTGTCGCAGGCCCTGCCCGAGGGAGCCTCATTGGGAGATATCCAGGCTGTCGGGCCCTCGACGCGATTCTGCGACTGCGACAGTTCTGAACCCTCCGAGTCTGAGGCTCGGGCAGATGCCTGCAAGCGCGACAAGGCCAAGGGGAGTTTGAGTGCTCGGCCCTTCTTGCCTTCCTAACCCTTAGTTTGATGTGCTGCCGTCTGCCGAACGGGTCTGCGCAAAGAGCCCAGAGGCAAACCCCAATTTGCCATACTCCCCCCCTAACTTCCGGAGAACACTAACGCGCAAAGCTGCTGCCCGTGTCAGCCTGAAAAGTATTGTCAAAGCTCTGCCGATTCAAAGCAGGAGGAGCTCCTTGAGCCTTTGGCGACCCGGCGGGACAAGGACGGAAATGAAAGGGAAGGCTTGAGGCCTTGGGCTTCCTTAGCCAGTGTACTTCGAAGCACCCTGTACTGTGGTTCTGACTGGTCTTGCTGTTTTTGCTACAGTCGTCTTGAAAGGGGTTTGTTGTTGTCGGGCATGTGCACTTGCAGTTCGGGCATGTTGTTAATATTAGAGACGGCCAAGTTCTACTTATAGCATGAAGTGTGTTACCCCCGAATACGACGATAATAACCTGGTTATGGGTCCCATCGGTGCTGTTTATGACGACGATGATGGTAATGATGCCGCTGACTGCTCCCAGGCAGTATGATTGGTATGGTGCGATTGGCATTCGTTACATGTGCTATTGCGTTTCTGGCATGTTGAACCGGAGGCGATTCATTGCGGTTTTAGTTTTTTTTATCGTGCTAAGGAGGTTCGATTGCCCAGTTAGGTTGCGAAAGTACGGGGGGAGGGCGGTTCTTCCGGAACGCATTCATTCAGAAGCATCGCCACTCATGTCGTGAGCGCTGCCAGCACAATGAACGGTGAATACAAGTGAAGATCTCGAAAGGACTCTTCCGCAACTTCAGGATAAGATCGCTGACATATCTTGACACCCTTATTGTTGCCTTGGAGCCTTGACAGAGCCGCTTGAAAGCCCCGTTGGCAAGGCGGCGACAATTGCTGAACGCTTCGGTCTGGGCACCGCGTCTGCGAGTTCCGGAGGACTCCAAGCATGTGTTCTGCGGTGAAGTTGATCCACAGCGTCCACTCCTCCCCACATGCAATACGTAATTACAATTGTTTTGGCGGAGCGGCGTTCGTGCAGAGCCAGTTTGTTGGACAGGTTGCTTAGACAAGCGTGTTTTTCGATGGGGTCTGTGCATAGTTTGGAGTCTACTGGCCCTTTCTGGGTTTAGATCTGCGTCCCGGGGGGTGTTGCTTGTCATGGTTGAGGGTTCCATGTTGAAGGGCCTGCATTGAGCTTGATCGAGACCAGGTTGAAGCCCGATTAGGTTGCCGCTACGCGCTGTTTCGTTGTGAAACCTGCTTCTGCGGAGCTCGATACTAATGCAACGGTACCAGATATTACTCCAACAAGCTCTGCTTGGTGAGTTTTGCTGAATACTCGCTCGAACAGTCTGAAGAATCTAGAATTCTTGTCAAGCGTGCGTTGAACTCGATTCCTGGATGTCTGACGTTCTGAGGAGGCACGGCGATCGAAAGCGCGGGCTCATCGCGAAGCCAGCGTGTGCAGGCCTACGGGATCCTACGGGCAGGGAAGGTTTCAGCAGAGAGAGAGAGAGAGGCCGTCACGAGCGTTTTCGGTACGACAAGGGCGATTGGTCTTGGAACTTGCTAGTGTGTCTACAACCTGATTGATTTGTGACTCCGTGCACCAATTACCCTTTATTCGCGATGTGTTGTTTCGTGATGATTATCGCAGTTGTTGCGCGTCTTAGGCTTTTGCCCCAACGCGGTTGCCGGGCTCATGTTTCCAACGAGTAACAACAGGTGCTTGGCCTCCCCTTGATTATCAGGACAATGGCGCTGGCAAGCAGCTTCTCAGTCTCCTGCGAGGAGGATGGTCTTGAAGAGTTTGGCATAGACTTCAATGCATTCCCCAGAACAATGTCGGGTGTGTCGTTACACGCTTCATCAGCGTTCAAATGCATTTGCGTGCGTGCATCAACCATGAGCAGACCTTGTTATGATCTGTTGGAGTCTGGCCAAGACTGGCGCCGAACAATTATGATTGTAGGTCCTTTCAGACTGAAAGTGGCAGGCTGCTGTGTATTTGAGGTTTTCGTGCCAAGGAGCAGTCGCCTTTCCAGAAGAGGTTGCTGTAGAATCCGACTACCAAGCCAGAGACTGGCGGAGGAAGCTGTCTTAGTCCTCGGACTTCGTCGGTTTTCGGAGCTATTGCTCCTGCTGCCAGGATCCGTCCCCTTCCCGCCTGCGGATGAGGTACATTGCCAGCTTTGGTATCCTGCTGTCTATCTATGTAGCAGCTTCATTTTGCTTTTCAGCGAGGGGACCATTCGCTGTATGTGTTGATCTGAGACCGAACCCTTTGAAGCCCCTTGTCCGGTAAGGCCAGCGAGTGGTGGCCAGATTCTGCTTGGGAGTCGTGGCAGGCCCGGCAGGTCCTTGCAGTTCCTTGCAATGGATGACTTGGAGGCGTTCTAGCTTGACTGTGGGCACTGTGATTTTCGGTCTTGTTCCTGTACATGTCGGAGGCTTGGCAGTAAGGAAGTATGGAGGAGACTTGAACTTTGCGAGCCGTGAAGCCAAAGAGCTGAAATATCCCAATAGACCCGACATGAATGAGCCTCATGCAAACGATTTGCAGCCCATCAGGGTTGGGACAGCAACTGGTGGGCATATTCCCAGGCCTCTGTGCAGGAGTGTGGGCTTGAGGTGTTGGGTGTTTGAGCTTTCGTTGACTTTTGGCTTTGAAGGCCTTGGAGGGAGTCTCGGCAGTGCAGTTGCAAAATTGCTTTCACACACAAAGAATGTTTTTTTGAGCTCCCCGCGTACTGGTAGCTGTGTGTGGGCGGCCATGAACTGTTCCCATAGAGACATCCACAAAGTAAAGATCCTTTGGACTCAGCTTTAAAATTGAGCTCACCCAGTTCTCGAGATTCCAAAGATAGAGCAGAACCCCATTTGATCCTTAAGCTCAGAACACGCAGCGCACAAACCTTCTCTCTTTAAAAGGCATGGTTCAAGCTTTTGGCTTCAGCCTGTCCTTCAGGCTTCTTGGGTGAATTGATGGAATATGGGTGAATATGAGGGGACGGAGGCCCGAGTAAGACCTTCTGGTGCCAGCGGTAGCCGGGGCAAATGTAGTGTCTGGCTGCCTATGTGGAAGTACAGCAGATGAGGGTGCAAGGCGACAGACACTGTTTAGAGTGCGGACCCGATCTCTTACGTTGCAAAGTGCAGCGAGCGGCTTGAAAAAGGCAGATGCCCGACCTGCTCAACGAGGATCAGGATGGGACACAGACTTTCGAAGTGCATAGCGACGAATGTCTCAGAGACTTGACAGATATTTGCGTGCTTCGTTACAGGATTCTGTGGAGTGTAAAGCTTTTGTCAGTCAATGACATTGTTGCAGAAATTCAGAGAAAGCATTTGGCCCTCCCTTGTGGCCTTGTGGATTGTTCGAGCCATGTCTGAGTCTGCCACATCGCTAGAGTTGGTTCCACGACGCTGAGGGAGTGCCAACCTGCTTTGAGCCAGGAGGCTACAGAAGTCGCGGAAAGAAGGCCTCCCGCATCCCCCAGGATTGTCTGTGAAGTTGGTAGGTCTTGTCCTGCATCTGGTTTCGTCACCAACTAGCTCTCTGCCTCTCTTGTTCTTCGCTTGTTGGTCTGTGCTGCTTGTTCATTGAGAGTTCAACAGGCAAGTGCAAGGTGTGGAGCGTGCATTCGGAGGAGTACAAAGTTTTTGCTTAAGCTTTCCAGGGATGTATCTCCGCATGGAAGATCACGACAAGTACTGCAGCCCCCCCAAAGCCGAGCAACTCTGCAACGCAATCCCTTGCCAGTGTTGAGCCACAGACAACACAAGAAACTTGCAGTCGCTCCTGGAGACTTTGAGAGCTCGCCTCGATGCCGCGAGGCGTGGTGAGGTGCAACATTGCCACCGCCGCGCGTCGCTGTCAGAAAGTGCTGGCAGAGCTCTGCTTCCTATGAGGCTTTCTTCTACTGATTTCTTCGACTACCAGTCACTTCTGGGGACCGTAGCATTGTAGAGGTGTGGTGCTGCCTCTGTAGCGAGACCTGGTCTTGCTTCACCAGCTAGTACGCCATCCGCTCTGCACGACCGCTGTGCCACTCATCGCTGGCCGCTTGTTAATCTTCATCAGAGTGTGAGAAGTTTCGGCTCTAGATTTTCAGCCTCGGAGTTTGGCAATGCAGTCTATCGGGACTGTCAGCACTAGACGGTACTGCGTGGACATGCGAACTGACATCAGCTTGGATCATCAGGCATCTTGGATGTGACCGAAAAACTTGCGGTGCATACAGTTCTGAAGAGGCATTGCTTGAGAAATTACCCCTCGAGCCGGGGCTTCAAAGGCCACAGCAGGCAAGATCCTAAAGCTCAGGGCTCAGGCAGCTTCCCTCACGGGGTGTCCGTGTCCTCAGCCATGGAGGATGTGGATGTGGAGGCGAAACCTCAAGGGTTCTGAGTGCACTGAGGCGACTTACTCCGTTTGAAGACGGGTTACCCATCTAGGTGCGACGGCTCATATTCCTTACATGCGAATGCACACAGACGAACACCTAATGGAGTTTCTGAATCGGCAAACAAGAAAGTCGGAATCTGCCAGCCAAGCCATCTGCCAACGGCCAAATACCTCGATGGCTGTGTTAGGGATTGAAGCGTGATCCTAATCTTTACATTTCATGTACCGAGAGATCGGGCTGACTTGGACCCTTGAAGTCAGAAGGAATGCGTATATCAAGCTTTGGGCATGGGGGTGAGGGTGAGCAGGTGAAGATGCTTCAGGACATGCTGGCGGACCAGTGCCAGCTGCAGGCCAAGCAGCTGAAGTCGCGGCTCGGCTTTGCTTTTTTGCAGCTTTCAGACTTGCAGACAGCACTATGGGCAACTCAACACTCCACGTCTCGAGCCGAACCCTAAGCTAAGAGCGCACTCGTCCACTACCCTCCAAAGCACTCCCATCTTGGCAAAAGTTTGGGACCACTCTGCAAGGTTGGAGGACGAGGCCGCCCAGTCCGTGGGTGCGATATGTTGGACGGGTCGGTGTGTCGCTCTTTCAGTAGAGGTTGATTTCTGTGAACCAAACTACCTGACTGCTTCCTTGGTGAGGGGTCGAAACATGCCAAGCCTGCCGCGTTATGGGCCTCAAATCCAAAGGCCTCCAGACATGGGGTCTTGGACATCCGGCGGAGTTACAAGCCTGCAAGGCAACCTAGGCTTTCCTGGTTGTTGACTCCACGCGGTCCCAGTCATAGCTTCGCACCCTGAAAACCGTAACCGCTTTTCTGCCCATTACGATTGCTGTAGGTCGTTCGCCTGTGACCTCACTTAATCTTCAGCTGCAGGTTGCCCTACTCAAGACACGGGCCCAGGCCTTCGCAGAACGTCTGTGACTCAGCTTGTGGCTGCGTCTCAATTTGGCTAGAACCTTCACTCGCAATGACGAGACGCAGAGTGTTTTGAATGGTGGGTTTCCTAAGGTTCGTGCTGAGTGCCACTGCAAGCAATTAGAGTCGTACTTGAGCTGACAGGTGAGAAGTCGAGTGTCAAGAGTCCAGGGTCGGAGGTGTCGTGTGGAGTGTCGTGTTAGGTGTTCAGGCTGCAAACTTTGCAGTCGTTTGTACTTATAAGTATGAGTTTAGGCACAGGGGTTGGACGTCTCTCCCTCAAGCCTGCCGGCTGCCGTCCCCGAATTTAACAACCAGGCCGAGCGCGGCGTCTTGCGACGGACCCACTTTCTGGCAGCTTGGCCTCCAACCAGGTGTTCCCGTTTGGGGCTGTTGGAGGCCGGAGGTAGAGCAAGAAGTCCGTGACGGTTCTGGGGTCAGCATGGTAAAGCCAAGCTCAGGCCTGTCCTAAGCTCGTCCGGCATGGCAGGCTAACCAACCAAAGCTTCAACAAATTCAGCTGCGTGCTGAATTCAGCCAATCCTGGCAAACTCCCAAGAAAAAAGCAACATGCCAGGGCGTCTCGTACCCTTGTACCTCGTTTGAGCAGACCCTCTTGCATCTTTGCTCTCGAGAAAAGGCAGCCTTTGGTCAAGGCAGCACTATCCATGAAGGCTTCTGCGAGAAGCGTGATCATCCGCTTCAGCTCAAATCAGCTTTTTACATTGAGAGTGATAGCATTTATTGAGGCATCGACACTGCCTTCGTGAGGCCGTCGCCCTTTGACTGCTTTGCCTTTCGGTCGGTATTGGGTTTCGGCGTCTACCTCTCTAGAACTCTTTATGCAGGTTCGAAGGATTCCTTATGATTGCTCAGATGTGAAGTAACACACGGTCTCCAAAGTCCCTTTCCAATGTCGGAGACTCATGCCTTCATGAGCTTTCTGGAGGCTGAGTGACTCGAGTCAAGCCGTCAAGCCTCTCTGTTTTCGTGTCTTTCGTGCAGTGCGAGGAGGGTGGAATGGAAGCTGCAGAAGTGCAGCGAGACCATCAGGCCTTGACTGCGGGTCGAAGGTTCGGTTCAAGGCACAATTCCGGGGACGGGGCCCTCCCGCTTTTTGGCATGGAGCAGAGTGAAACATCTGTCGGTGCAGGAAGAAAGGCAGCACCAGGGGTTGCGGAATCACAAGGCAATTCTAGGTCGTGTGCTTTTCTCCAAGTCCCAAGCAGTATGGGTGGCCATATCACAAAGCCACGAGAGCCCTGTGCCTCAACTAATATTGGCAGCCTGAAGACCTTTTATCTTTGCGTCCCGAGCTGTCAGCTTAATCACAACTTCCTGTCAGGAAGATGTCCAACAACCAGTGCATCTGGCAAGCATCCCAGAATCCCAGAAGTTCGTGAAGATGCTGTCCTTTGCCGGGCTGATTCGTTGCATTGTGAGCATGGAAAGTACAAGCAGTTTTTTGCTTCGACATGGCAGCCACCTCTTCACTTCTTGTCTTGTCGTGGCAGCGCAGCTCTCGGTCGTGCAGAGGGGAGTGTCCTTGCAGTGTACCTGCCGCAAATCTCCCCTAAGCGCAGGGGGCCTCAACACCTTGGGGAGGTCCAGCTCCTTTTCGGCTATGGGGGTGCCGGACATGCAGCTCGAGTTCTTTCCTCAAGGCAGGAACAGTGCACTGGTTCCATGTATGTGTGACTCAGCAGGGGCCTATGCAGGGAAGAAGGAGCCACAAGAAAGTGTCAGCACGCGACCACCATGTGCATGCGTGTGCATGCTCGTAGTTTCGTCTACTTGCGGTTGCCGTTCCCAGAGCTTGAAGCCAGAACTCAGAGGGTAATCAGGGGAAGCCAAGCATCTCGTTTGGAGTCCTAGGCCGTACTAGCATCCTGCCGGGCAATTGTGTTAAAGCTCTCACGACCCCTCAAGAAACCGAAAACAGGGTGACAGCAATCCACATGCTGGACCCGCTCATCCCAGGACGGGAGACCTCTCAGAAGGGCTTCTGTGCCCTCTTCCTTTGGTGTCCTGGCCACCTGAAGCTGAAGTGCGCTCGTGGAACCAGTGTCAACGACGGCAACTCGATGTCGACATGCAATCCTCTTACTCATCCATCGCAAAACGCTCGGGGCTTGGACTTCGAAGCATCTCAGGATACGGACGGGGCTTAGAGTTTCGAAATCAATTTATTTGTGTTTAGCCTTTTGTTGACTCTACTTTACTGGCTTTGTCTCTGCTTCTGGCGTTCGCTTGTCTTCTCTTCGGCTTCTCTGCTTTGCACCCTGCAGCCTTTCTTGATCTGCTTGCTGTTTTTGTCCCCTCGCTTTGTTGCAGTGCCAGTTTTTCGCTTCCCTGCCTTTCACTTTCCCTCATTCTTGCCTTGCCGGTTTTGAGATTAGTCTGGCCGTCTTCGGGAATTGAAAGGACGTCTAGCAAAGGCAGAAACGGCAAGAACGCATGGTGCCCGAAAGAAAGCAACAAACAACACATACACAGGGAAAACTAAGGACGACCCACAAGGTCATAGGATGCAGCAGGAAGCCGCAAAACACAGCATGCAAGCAGGGAAGACCATCGGTCGGCAGGTGCTTGCTTTTGGAGAAGGTAGGCATGGTCATGTCAAACTGCTGGCTGTCGCTGTCACGACATCGTTTATGACAATCTGTTGGCGTAATCTCAAGGGGCGCGATGAGTTTCATGGATTATGGGCAGAATTTCCGCAGAATCACTCGCGAGGGAAGCCCACCTTGAAGACCTGCTGTCTTCCCAAAGTATCATATTTTTCTTTGCATCTTGTCACATGGCTTGGCTTAAGCATTTCGCAGGAGCGTTCAGTCTTTGAGTGCTTTGCTTTCTCTGCACGCTCCCCCACAGTTGGAGCTGTAATTGCGCGCAGGCAATCGCAGCGAGAGCGATAAGCAACAAGTTTCTGGATGAAAGACTACGCATGCAAAACTCCGAAACTTAGAGTGCTTGGATCTGCAGGCAGTAGGCACGGACCGCTCTCTCGAAGCAAGATCCGGAAGTAGACCAGTGCCGCGCAGGTACCGGCTTGAGGTGGGCAGCCACGCCTCGATCGATGAGGATGTCTTCACCAGCCGGTCAGCTTCTTAGACTTGCCTGGGCCCAGAGGCTTCTACATGCTTTTGCACTTTCAAGTCTGCTGTGCACTGCGAAGAGGAGCAGGACAACATATACCTCAGCCTGTCCGTGGGCTGATGCAGACAGCTTCAGCAAAGAGCTTCAGCTACTGGAGGGAGGTAGTTGTAACGGACATGAGCTGTAGACAGGTAAGTATGGCAGGTTCAATGTTTCCGCATTTGGGTTGGGAGGTAATCCCGACATCCAAATGCACAATTCAGAGATGCCGAGGATTGGCCACGGCCACTCCAACTTCTGCTTCCTTGAGGCGAGCAGCATGGAGCTCTCGGCCGTCGCAGGGTTCCGACAAGATTCGATGGCAAAGGCCAAGCCGGCCAAGGGTCCTAGGTTTGGTGTTGACATTTTCAATCCTGT